TCTAGAATGCAACAAGAAACTATGCTACTGCACCCCCAACATAGCAACAAAGCACATGGCAGTGATCTACTCAAGATGCTTGACAAAACATTAACACTGAGCTACGGCTAAATCACACTAGAACAGGTTCAAACAAGCTTGGCAAAAGTGCAAAAGATATCAGCTTCACAGACTTAGTGAAAACACTAACATGCCAGGAATTAACATCAGGAAGCAATGTTTAGAGCAAGCAAAACACATGATACAGGACCACATCATAGCAAAACAAGGCATGGCATGAATCTACTCAAGGCATAGAACAAAAGTCCCTTACTGGCCATGAGCCAAAAAGGATCAGAAGATATGATGGCATCCATGTAAACATAGCAAGTTTCGTTAACAGATTCAGACTTAGCAGAAAACCGAGCATGGCATAAACAGAATTATGAAGGCATGTTTGCGAGCTCGATTCACTCAACACAAGGCATAACAAGTGAAATGGGCATGATGGCATGATGACATGATGCAATGCACATGATGCAATGATGAATGCAACAAACTAACAACTCACATGACGAAACTCGGAAAACGTGGAAGGCGTCTGAAGCTCCAGTCTTGGGGCATTACATTGAGTCCTTAGGAAAAGCCAATACTATTAAAAGGGGATGAGGTGTTTCTTAATGGCTTGCTTTCTCAAAGTACTTAGTGATATGCTCCAAAGCCCTCAACCACTTTCTCATATTCACATATGTCCCAAATCAAAAGTCAAACTCGGCCCCATCGAAACACTCTATCCGACGCCATTGAGTTCACTTGACATAGCCACTCCCACAAACCCTAATCAATTCAGTCTCACTGATGGGATCTCGGTCTCACCGAGATGGGCTTGCAAACTCTCTGTTGCCTGTTGGAATTATTTTGGTCCTACCGAGATAAGCAATCGGTCCCACCGAGTTTGCCTGACCAACTCTCTGTTTTGATTATTACCAAAATCGGTCTCACCGAGTTTGTGTAATCGATCAAACCGAGATGAGGTTTTACCCTAACCCTAGCACATCGGTCCCACCGAGTTGATCATATCGATCCCACCGAAATGCCTAACAGACACATTATGAACTAAATCGTGTTGGAAATATGCCCTAGAGGCAATAATAAAATGGTTATTATTATATTTCTTTGTTCATGATAATTGTCTATTGTTCATGCTATAATTGTGTTATCCGGAAATCGTAATACATGTGTGAATACATAGACTACAACACGTCCCTAGTGAGCCTCTAGTTGACTAGCTCGTTGATCAAAAGATAGTCATGGTTTCCTGACTATGAACATTGGATGTCATTGATAACGGGATCACATCATTAGGAGAATGATGTGATGGACAAGACCCAATCCTAAGCTTAGCTCAAAGATCGTGTAGTTCGTTTGATGTAGCTTTTCTAAATGTCAAGTATCATTTCCTTAGACCATGAGATTATGCAACTCCCGGATACCGTAGGAGTGCCTTGGGTGTGCCAAACGTCACAATGTAACTGGGTAACTATAAAGGTACATTACAGGTATCTCCGAAAGTGTCTGTTGGGTTGGCACGAATCGAGACTGTGATTTGTCACTCCGTATGACGGAGAGGTATCTCTGGGCCCACTCAGTAATGCATCGTCATAATGAGCTCAATGTGATCAAGTGGTTGATCACGGGATCATGCATTACGGTATGAGTAAAGTGACTTGCCAGTAACGAGACTGAACAAGGTATTGGGATACCGACGATCGAGTCTCGGGCAAGTAACGTACCGATTGACAAAGGGAATTGTATACGGATTGATTGAATCCTCGACATCGTGGTTCATCCGATGAGATCATCGTGGAGCATGTGGCAGCCAACATGGGTATCCAGATCCCGCTGTTGGTTATTGACCGGAGAGTCGTCTCGGTCATGTCTGCATGTCTCCCGAACCCGTAGGGTCTACACACTTAAGGTTCGGTGACGCTAGGGTTGTTAGGAAGACTTGTATGTGATTATCGAATGTTGGTCGGAGTCCCGGATGAGATCCCGGACATCACGAGGAGTTCCAGAATGGTCCGGAGGTAAAGATTTATATATGGGAAGTTGTCATACGGTCGCCGGAAAGGTTCGGGGGCATATCGGTATTGTACCGGGGCCATCGGAGGGGTTTCGGGGGTCCACCGGGAGGGGCCACCTCTTCCGGAGGGCCTTATGAGCTGTATGGAGAAGGAAACCAGCCCAAGTGGGCTGGGGCGCCACACCCCCCTAGGGCCCATGCGCCTAGGGTTGGGGGAAACCCTAAGAGGGGGCGCCCCCTTGCTTGGGGGGCAAGCCCCCCTCCCCTTGGCCGCCACCCCCCCTCTAGATCTCATCTAGAGGGGGCCGGCCCCCTTCCCCCTTCCCCTATAAATAGAGGGGTGAGGGGAGGGCTGCATACGACATCCAAGGCGCAGCCCTTCCCCTCCCCAACACCTCTCCTCCTCCATAAGAGCTTGGCAAAGCCCTGCCAGAGTACTGCAGCTTCATCACCATCACGCTGTCGTGCTGCTGTTGGAGCCCTCTTCCTCAACCTCTCCCTCCTCCTTGCTGGATCAAGGCGCGGGAGATGTCCTCGCTCCGTACGTGTGTTGAACGCGGATGTGTCATCCGTTCGGCGCTAGGATCTTCGGTGATTTGGATCACGTCGAGTACGACTCCATCAACCCCGTTCTCTTGAACGCTTCCGCTCGTGATCTACAAGGGTATGTAGATGCATTCCTTTCTCCCTCGTTGCTAGATGACTCCATAGATTGATCTTGGTGATGCGTATAAAATTTTAAAATTCTGCTACGTTCCTCGACAAATCGGTCCGACCGAGTTTTTTGATTCGGTCCCACCGAGTTTGGTGATTTGTGTGTAACGGTTAGATTTTGTGTGGAGGCTATATATACCCCTCCACCCACTTTTCATTCGTGGAGAGAGCCATCAGAACACATATTTTCTGAGAAAGAACCACCTACTCATGTGTTGAGGTCAAGATATTCCATTCCAACCATTTGAATTTTGATCTCTAGCCTTATCCAAGTTGCTTTCCACTCAAATCTTCTTTCCACCAAATCTAAATCAGTGAGAGAGAGTTGAATGTTGGGGAGACTATCATTTGAAGCACAAGAGCAAGGAGTTCATCATCAATACATCGTCTATTACCTTTTGGAGAGTGGTGTCTCCTAGATTGGTTAGGTGTCACCTGGGAGCCTCCAACAAGATTGTGGAGTTGAACCAAGGAGTTTGTACGGGCAAGGAGATCGCCTACTTCGTGAAGATCTACCCTAGTGAGGCAAGTCCTTCGTGGGCGATGGCCATGGTGGGATATACAAGGTTGCTTCTTCGTGGACCCTTCGTGGGTGGAGCCCTCCGTGGACTCACGCAACCGTTACCCTTCATGGGTTGAAGTCTTCATCAACGTGGATGTACGATAGCACCACCTATTGGAACCACGCCAAAAATCTCCGTGTCTCCAATTATGTTTGCACACTCCAATCACACCCCTTTACATTCTTGCAACTTGCATGCTTTACTTTCCGCTGCTCATATACTCTTGTCATGCTTGCTTGAAATATATGATGAACGTTTGAACTTACACTAAAACTCTACCTTAACTTGGAGAAAATAAAAAATGCAACTTTTATTTGTTAAGAGTCTATTCACCCCTCTCTAGACACCTCTTCTTGATCCTTTCAGACACGCCCTGGACCGTGCTTGGGCGGGCTGTCACAACATGGCCCGATTATCTTATACTCCTTTCTTCCCAAAATAAGTGTCTCAACTTTATACTAACTTTAGTACAAAGTTTTACTAAGCTTAAGACATTTATTTTGAGGCAGAGGACGTATATATATACCCACGGTGTAGAATAATTAATTCTTCACCGAGGTAGTCTTACGATCGTTTCATAAATAAATTACATTTAAATGACAAATAGTTACATTCATATTGATTCACTATAAAAATATTAGCATAAGAAAACAAAAATGTAGGTCACAACACTAGGAAAATTGCATTTTATGTGTATTTTACATTATGTTTTTATGTTTGTAATTTTACGTAACATAAAATATTTTTACGGCAAGTATATATTTTCTTATGGTATATTTTTATGTCTGAAATAAGACAAAATTTACAAAACGTAAAATTACGAAGCATTGATGTTAAAAAAAGGAGGATGAAAAATAGATATTTCTCACTCAAGGTGACAAATAGTCAATCCCTATATATAGAGGCCGACACAAGACGACCCATATAATAATTATGCCCTAGTGGCCCGGGCCGTGCCAGACACGATTACAATTGGCCGGGCTGGGCCGGCCCATTTGGCCAACTCTAATCGATAAGGTGAGGCCGTCTTTGATGTGGGAGCGGCAACAACGGCACATCGTTCTGGCGGCGACAATAGTCCTTCGGTGGCCACGGACCTCGATTTAATTTTTATTATGTTTGAGGTGCTTTATCTTCTTGTGGTTATTTATGATAGATCTGATTTTTTTTAAGTCGAGCCAAGGTAAAATGTAAATCTTGTGCTGCCCTACTAAAAAAATCAAAAAAAAAGAAGAAGAGGAAAATCCGGTGTTGCTAGTGCTGTACGCTGCCGAGCTCAACCACTCCAGGCCTGCTGCTCCGACCAAAGCGTGGAGCCGGACGAAGCAACCAATCTGGATCCCTCAGGCCGGTTTCTCGCAGGAGGCAGCGTAGGGCGGTGGCGCGGCACCCGGCGGGGTCACGGGAGCACAGGTAACGCTCCTTCGAATTTCTCCCCTTCATTTGGGGTTTGCCGATTTAGGAATTGGGGATTTGATGAAGTGTGAATGGTGGCTACAAATTCGAGTTTGCTCACTGTTCTTGACGTGATCTGCGAATGTAGGTTGGCAAGTTAGAGCGATTTGGGAAGCACAGGCTTTGGATTTGGAGTCGTGCGCGCCCCCGTTGACATTTTTTCTAGCTCCGCCACTGCGGTGTACTAGTGGAATGCTTACGAGCAAATGAGGAAGAGCTGTGGCCTCAACTCCGGCCCCGGGCGGCCCTTCAACGACCGCCGGTGGCTGCTCCCCTTCCTCGCGAGCCTCCTCGTGTCGGTCACCCTCTTCCTGGCCGCCGCCTGCGGCCTCTTCTCACCGCCCTATTTGGCCGGCGACGACGCCTTCCTCGTCGACGTCGTCTCGTTCACCGACTGGGACGATGGAGGCTCACCGTCGCAGCGAGACAGCGGCCAGTCAGTGGAACCCGAGGCCAAGGACCCGCTGCTGGATGACAACGACAACCCCGACAACGCCGCCGTGAACTCGGACGACTCCGACGCCGAGCCGCCCAGGCTGGCGTATCTCCTGGAGGGCACCAAGGGCGACGGCCTGCGGATGCGGAGGGTGCTGCAGGCGATATACCACCCGCGCAACCAGTACATCCTGCACTTGGATCTGGAGGCGCCGCCCCGGGAGAGGATTGACCTGGCCATGTACGTCAAGGGGGACCCGATGTTCAGCCAGGTCGGGAATGTGCGGGTGATCGCCAAGGGCAACCTGGTCACGTACAAGGGGCCGACGATGGTCGCCTGCACGCTCCACGCCGTGGCGATCCTCCTCAAAGAAGGCTTGGAGTGGGACTGGTTCATCAACCTCAGCGCCTCGGATTATCCCCTCATGACGCAAGATGGTTAGTGCTCTTGTTCAACATTTCCATTTCTATTTTCCTGCAGTGCATACCACTCCTGTCCAGGGACCAGTCTTTTGTTGCATTGAACAACTAAATGAAAGCTGGAGCTGCATTCTCATGATTGGCAAACACAAACCAGCCAATGTGATACTATGTTCATTCCTTGATTTACCTGCTGAAACTGTACTCCTGTTGTCTGATATAGAGCACTGTAGTTGGTAACATCGGAATTGCTGTGCACACGACGAACAGTATGCACGACCATCAGACGATGGTCCATCAAGGGGTGTGCTGCCTTTTGTTGCTATACATGGACGGTTTGATTGGCTTGTCGTCCAAAAATCGTCTGCATGCTATCGTCTGCGTAGCAGTGCTCTGGCAACAATATCATGTCATAAGATTAAAATCATTCATAGTATGTGCGCTTCGGGGCCACATATGTTGCCCTACGCCTGCAGTCTGGACTAGCTTAATCAGATATCTTCTGCATTATCATCACTTATGTAGAGGATAGCCTCCTCAGTGAGTGAAGATTGTAAGCGTCAGGAAGCATCACTTACGTCGATATCTAGAGGATAGAGGCCATGGATAGGTTACAGGTGGTGAAGTGCCAGTGTGCAGTGTGCAGTGTTCGTTTAAAATTTCACTAAATCAACAACATAACTACTGAAGGCAGTGTACTTGTAGTGTGAACTGATACTATCTCTGTGCTGATATACTTAATTTATTGCATACTCCATAAGTAGTTAACTGCTGTTATTTTTGTACAGATATACTTCATGTGTTCTCGTCTTTGCCAAGAAATCTTAATTTTATAGAGCACATGCAAATATCTGGATGGAAAAGGTACGTTTTCTTAATGGTGTAAACACTTTATTTTGATTTACATTATCTAGCTCTGTTTATCCTTCGCAAACTACTTTGCCTTTTCTGATGTCTGTGTGCTTTCATCACAGGATCCAAAGAGCAAAACCCATAGTTCTGGACCCAGGGCTTTATCTGTCAAAAAAGTTTGACCTTTCTACGACACCTGAGCGGCGAGAATTGCCAACATCTTTCAAATTATATACTGGTAGGACTGCTTTCTGATTTCAGTATTGGCAATTCTACATTTCAACCCATAAGCCAGTACATTTGTGTGGCAGTCGGCATACATGACATGTGGCCTTCGAGAACCACTTGCTTAAATTTATTCAATTGTGCTCTTAATTTTTACACTTGCTATAGCTTCTTAGTTCAAGTTGTACATTTTGCATAAAGAATAACAGTGGCTATTTGTTGGATTGGCATATCAGTCTGGAGGTATTGTGAGCAAAAGTATTTGAATCAGGGCGCTAATTTAGTTAAGACAGCGTGCTATTCTTAAATGATCAAAAGTTTGTATTATCTATGCATATGATTTTTATTTGCATTTCTTGTTACTAAACTGGAAACCCTTATCCTGCGAAACAGTGTATGGAATCATTTGTTGGCATCAAGAAAGTGACTCCAAATTTTATTCTAGTAAACAGGGATACAAACTGAATTAATAGTAGTATGGAAAATCAAAAGTTTTTGTGTATAAGGATGAGAATGTGAGCAACTTTATAACTGGTGGTCTTGGTGTCTGTTGAGTGTTAAGGCATGTTTTCTTGTTGAAATGACACTTTCTAGTGTATCTTAACATGACAGCCCTCCCTGTTGGGATCATCAGGTTCTGCTTGGATAATGCTCACGAAATCCTTCCTGGAGTACTGCATATGGGGTTGGGATAATCTCCCACGCACCCTCCTGATGTACTATGTCAACTTCATCTCCTCTCCAGAAGGTTATTTCCATACTGTGATCTGCAACTCTGATGAGTTTCAGGGCACTGCAGTTGGTCATGACCTGCACTACATTGCCTGGGACTACCCTGCAAAACAGCATCCGCTGACCCTCTCCATGAAGGACTTCAACAACATGGTCAAGAGTGGCGCGCCCTTTGCACGGAAGTTTCCAAAGGAAGACAAGGTCTTGGACAGGATCGACCGTGAGCTTCTGCACCGCTCTGAAGGCCGGTTCACTCCTGGGGCATGGTGTAATGGGAGCTTTGAAGGAGGGGCTGACCCTTGTTTGTCTAGACAGGAAGACTCTGTTTTAGAGCCTGGTCCAGGTGCTGAGAGGCTGCGCGGCTTGATGAAGAAGGTGCTGTCATGGGATTACCGCAACGGCAGCTGCTCAACTCTCTCGTACGATCAAACAAAGAGAGACTGGTATGTTCCCAAAAGTAAAGGATAATTTTGATTGCCTGCTTGTAAATGAAAGAGCTTGACCCCTTCCATTGAAATGAACAATGCTGATGAGTGCGTCATTCTGACCAAGGAAAATGTTGAAATGGTGATGTTCACACCACGATACACACTACCATCTCATGGAAATTAACAATTGTGGAACACTTCATTTTTAGTTCTACAATATTTGCTGTAGTCCAAACAAGACATGGATCCTTGTATCATATATGTTCTTTCTCTGGTCAAGATTTTTTCATGTGTTCTTGTTGCACTTTGTTCACAGGAAAAAAGAAGGAACATATCCAAATTCTGACTATACCTGGAATATGGTAGAAAGGAAAAAGAAAATCTCCCCAACAAAATTTTCCTCTGGAACACGGAATTCTTTTTGTCCGGTTGACAGCATCTTTTACAATACATAGCATTTCGTGATTACAATTTTTTAGACAAATTTTGTGATTACATAAACATGTGGATCTATGGGAGTGTTTGGATAGTCCACTTGGCTCACTGTCGGTTGGACCACATGTCCACCCATGTACTTTTTTTCTCTAGGTCCGGCTGACCCACCCTGCTGTCCGGATTTGATGTCTTAGTGTGTCCGTTTTGAGAAACAATGCTGGAGATGCGCCGAGTGGGTATAGACAAAATTGCAAGCCTTTTTGAATTAGGGATAATTAATTGTAGGGATAATTGGTTTTATGCCCCTAGTTGGGCCACTCGGCAGGTTTATCCCTAGTTCGCCCAAACAATGCTGGAGATGCACATATAGGTGATATTTTTCTAAACATAGTGATATCTTATTTGCATTTTTCAGAGTTAGTGTGAATTTGTTATGAAGTTTTTAAAGTGACAGTCAAACGGTCAAAGGGCAAAAGTATAAAACGAGCAAAGTGGTTGAGCGGAACGAGTGTTTTAGGGAACTAGGGGTAAACCTGCCGCGGTCCGAGTGTGACCCAACTAAAGGCATAAAATCAATTATCCTAGTTGGTCCTACACGACAGTTTTACCCCTATTTTCTAAAAATCCCCGGTTCTGCCCAAACCACTTACCTCCTTCTATGCTTTCGTTTGACCATCACTTTGAAAACTTCGTAGCAAACTCGTACTAACTCGTTAAAATGCAGATAAAATATCAAAATATTCACAAAAACATCATCTATATGTGCATGTCATTTGCATTCATAACAGAAGTGTTGGAAAGTCCCCATCTCAGTTTGAGCTCATATGATCTCAACATGAACAGTAAAATATGAAACAATTGAAAAAAATATTCTAATTTCTTTTATGGCAAACATTGACCAATGTTTTGATTGCTTGCCAAGTTTCATCAAGGGATGGCATTCATGGAAGTCGTGGCAAAAAAAAATTGTTGCTAAAAAAGAAAAGCATTTTGGAGTGCTGAATTTGTGTTTTTGTCACGACTTCCATGAATGTCATCCCTTGATGAAACTTGGCAAGCACTCAGAACAATGTTTGCCACCAATTTTTTTTTTATTTTCCAATTGTTTCATATTTTTACTGTTCATGATGAGATCATATGAGCTCAAACTGAGGTAGGGACTTCCCAACACTTTAGTCATGAATGCAAATGACATGCCCATCTAGGTGATGCTTTTTCTGAACATTTTGATGTTTTATTTGCATTTTTTCGAGTTAGTATGAATTTTCTACGAAGTTTTCAAAATGAAGGTCAAAGGGCAAAAGCATAAAAGGAGCAAAGTGGCTTGGATATAACCAAGGGTTTTTGAAAATTAGGGTAAAACTGCCGAGTGGGGCACAAGTAGGGGCATAAAATTAGTTATCCCTTTGAATTATAACTATAAACTAAGCCCATAACGGTTATGTATATGTATGTAGACAAAATCAATTATATTCACATATTTGTCTTTTTTGTAGGCCACAAATAAACTTATATCTTTATAAAAATATACTCGTATGTGTAAACCTTTGCCCACAGGGTGAGTTAGCAGGCAATACGAGAGTACGTATTTATTTTATTTTTAGAAAAGAAGGGAACACCATCGACCTCTGCATCAGGTGAAGCTCATTGACTTTACTAATTATTTTAAAGTTCATCGTTCGGGTTCAATAAAGTTCAACAAATAAAATGCCTCTAGTGGCTGCCCATGGGCAAATGAAAAAGGACGTAGAAAAATGAGTATTATGCACGAAAGTCTCTTTCTACATCCGAGCTCAAATGAGCTTGGGATGAACAGTGACTTGGAAAAATATTTTCAAAATGTTCAAAAAAATCTTTTTTTTGTTTGTGGAAAACGTTGACAAATGTTCTAAGAGTTTACAAAATTTCATCATGAAATCACATTTGTGGAAGTCATGGCAAAAAATAAATAAATTAGTGCTCCAAAATGCTTTTGAAAGTAGCATTTTCAAAGTATCGACTTTTTTTGCCATGGCTTCAAGAAATGTGATTTCATGATGAAACTTGCAAACTTTAGAACATTTGTCAAAGTTTTACATTAAAAATAAGATTTTTTGAACATTTTGTAATTATTTTTTGATTTTACTGTTCATCAGAGCTCATTTGAGCTCAGGTGCAAAAACTTCACGTCTCTTTATGCATCACAAAATGTATAGCATGTTGCCAATCAAATCGGTTGAAGAAATTCGGAGAGACAATCTCCCATCAGTTGCGCTGAAAGGCCATGGGCACGTGCTCCTCCTTGTGAAGTAACAACCACATATGGATTCACTGTTGGGGAATGTAACAATAATACAAAAATTTCCTACGTGTCACCAAGATCAATCTAGGAGATACAAGCAACGAGAGAGAAGGAGTGCACCTTCATACCCTTGAAGATCGCTAAGCGGAAGCGTTATAAGAACGCGGTTGGTGGAGTCGTACATGCAGCGATTCAGATCGCGGTAGATTCCGATCTAAGCGTCGAACAACAGCGCCTCCGCGTTCAACACACGTACAGCCCGGAGACGTCTCCTCCTTGATCCAGCAAGGGGAGAGAATAAGTTGAGGGGGAACTCCGACAGCACGACGGCTTGGTGGTGATGGAGCTCGTGGTTCTTCGGCAAGGCTTCGCCAAGCGCTACGGAGGAGGATGAGGTGTAGGAGAGGGGGAGGGCCTGCGCCAGGGAAGGGGTGCGGCTTCCCTCTCACTCCCTCACTATATATAGGGGAAGGGGGGTGGAGGAGGCGCCCTAGGGTTCCCTAGGGGAGGGGCGGCGGCCACAGGGAAAACCCTAGATGGGTTTGGGCGCCCCCTGAAGGAAATATGCCCTAGAGGCAATAATAAAGTTATTATTTATTTCCTTATATCATGATAAATGTTTATTATTCATGCTAGAATTGTATTATCCGGAAACATAATACTTGTGTGAATACATAGACAAACTAAACGTCACTAGTGTGCCTCTACTTGACTAGCTCGTTAATCGAAGATGGTTATGTTTCCTAACCATAGACATGTGTTGTCATTTGATTAACGGGATCACATCATTAGGAGAATGATGTGATTGACATGACCCATTCCATTAGCTTAGCACCCGATCGTTTAGTATGTTGCTATTGCTTTCTTCATGACTTATACATGTTCCTATGACTATGAGATTATGCAACTCCCGTTTGCCGGAGGAACACTTTGTGTGCTACCAAACGTCACAACGTAACTGGGTGATTATAAAGGAGCTCTACAGGTGTCTCCAAAGGTACATGTTGGGTTGGCGTATTTTGAGATTAGGATTTGTCACTCCGATTGTCGGAGAGGTATCTCTGGGCCCTCTCGGTAATGCACATCACATAAGCCTTGCAAGCATTGCAACTAATAAGTTAGTTGCGAGATGATGTATTACGAAACGAGTAAAGAGACTTGCCGGTAACGAGATTGAACTAGGTATTGAGATACCGACGATCGAATCTCGGGCAAGTAACATACCGATGACAAAGGGAACAACATATGTTGTTATGCGGTCTGACCGATAAAGATCTTCATAGAATATGTAGGAGCCAATATGAGCATCCAGGTTCCGCTATTGGTTATTGACCGGAGACGTGTCTCGGTCATGTCTACATTGTTCTCGAACCCGTAGGGTCCGCACGCTTAATGTTACGATGACTTTTTCATTATGAGTTTATATATTTTGATGTACCGAAGTTTGTTCGGAGTCCCGGATGTGATCACGGACATGACGAGGAGTCTCGAAATGGTCGAGACATAAAGATTGATATATTGGAAGCCTATGTTTGGACATCGGAAGTATTCCGGGTGAACTCGGCATTTTACCGGAGTACGGGGAGGTTACCGGAACCCCCCGGTAACCTAATGGGCCTTAATGGGCCTAGTGGAGGAAGAGGAGAGGAGGCCTAGGGGAT